TTTCACACTGCTATAAAGATACTACCTGAGACTGGGTAATTTATAAAGGAAAGAGTTTTAATTGACTCATAATTCTGCATGGCTGGGGAAGCCTCAGGAAACTCACAATTATGGTGGAAGGTGAAGGAGAAGCAAGTACCTTCTTCACAAGGTGGCAGGAGAGAGAGAGAGCAGGGGAAGCTTCCATTTTCAAAGCCATCAGATCTCATGAGAACTTCCTCACTATTATGAGAACAGCATGGGGGAAACTGCCTCCATGATCCAGTCACTTCTTATCAGGTCCCTCCCTTGACATGTGGGGATTACAATTCCAGATGAGATTTAAGTGGGGACATAGAGCCAATCCAAATAAATATGAAATGGAGGTTTTCCAGTGAAAAACAAAAACGGACAAAAAACCAAAAGGAATTATTGTACTGAAATCTGGGAAATCCTTTGGGACTTAAACAGCATTTCTTGAGAGCCCCACTCACTGAGACCCAAAAAGAGAACAATCTTTCCCTTTCCACAGCAATATAACAGCTGAGGCAGATACAGAGGACAGGACTGCTCCTGAGGGAAAAGCAAACCCTGATGGGCATGGGATTACCCATCAGGGGTCTGTAGGTACTTAGGAATTCCACTAAGTAGTACCAGCAGATCCAGCAGGAAACTGGCTTATTGTGAGCACATGCTATCCACTTCTGTGAGGATCTCAGACATGTTTGACTAGGACAAGGAAGACTTTCTAGAGGATTGGAAATCAGAGTCAACGAAAGTGCCTTTTTTGTTAATATTGTGACTCGCATGCACCACCGTGTGTTAAAGGATAAATAATCTTGGATTTCACTGTTTATATTTTAGGTCCTCTCCAACTAAAGAAAACAATCAGAATTCAGGATACAAAACTCTTCTCTGACATGGACTTATTTATGACTTTTGAGGGTGAAGTCAGTGAAAATTAGGTTGACTCAAAGTTCTTGTTGTAGAAATTAATAGTTAATTCTTCTATATATACCAGAAATCATTCTGGAAATCAGTCCAGAAAACCTTTGGACAGAATTTTAAACATTGACAGTATTCAGGTAACCATTATGAACACATTGAGACTTTTTTAAAAATTCAATATAATAAACATCTTCTGAACAAGGAAGAGATGTGAATGAAAGTGAGGGAGAAATTGCTCCATGAAACATACTCTTGTTTCTTAAGTGAGAAATTTTGTATCAGGTACAGAAGTTTATCAGAAATTTTGCCATAAACCCAGAGATTGAAATTTTAAGATTTTAGAAGAAACAAAATGCTAGAATTTTGGGCATTCACTGAAAATGGTAGAATTGTAGTTCTTATTGATGCCATCAGGAATCCTGCATGGTCCTCCCTGCCTTCTCAAAGGCAATTTGTCATTCCAGAAGTACATATGACTTGAACTATAGACCAAAAGAGCTAAAGGTCTGGGTCCTCTTTAGCCAATTATATTCACATCAGCATTTTCACCATTGTTCGTGTAATGAAAATTTCATTAAGTAATTAGCATATGCCAGGCACTATCCTAAATGATATATATTTATTTGATTCTCTTTAAACAGCTCAATGAATAAAAGTTTTAATCCCATTTCTCATTTCTTCTAATGAGAACACTAGAAATAAGTGAAATGTTCAAATTCACAGAAATAAGTGGCAGAGCTAGGACCTGAACTCAGGTGGTCTGAGCAGAGCACTGCCTTATTCACAAGGTCTTTACTTTACCCCCCAACCTGCTCCTGGTTATTTAAAGTCAGGTGCCCTTTGTCTCTGCCTGAGAGGAAAGATGGAATTCATCCTTCTTGCTCTATGTTGTCTAGATAAGGAATCTTCTTTTGTCTCACAGAGAGATTTGTAACCACGCTGTTTATGGAGTGAACTTAACAGAGAAAAATAGTAGTCAGCCAAATTGTTTGTCTCCAGTTGCAAAATGATCAAACATGTGCCTCAATCTAACTGAAAAACTAGGTTGTCTGTTATGTGAGGGAGAGCACTGACTCCTTTCATCCTTGGATTGAGTATCAGTATTCTCTCTCTTTACAATGTTCTTTCCCATCTTGGTTGCTATTCACCAATTTGAAGGATGATCTATCTTCTTCAATAACCATCACCTTCTCCACCCACCCTCCCATTCTTAGCTATCATTGTTTTTAAGAACCTAGCAGCCATGTTGACTTGATGAATTGAACTCAGAATTCTACCTCAGGAACAATTTCGTTAGGTTTTTTCATCACAGTCTCAAATTCAGAATCACCCATATGGAGCATCCTTCTCTGTGTCTCACTCCCTATTTCAATCCTTCCTTCCATTTACTTCCTTCCTTCTAAATGGAAGGTATGTGTTAGGTGTTGTCATAGAAACTGAGGTTTTGATAAATAGGAATTGATATTCTTTGCATCTGACAATCTAATAAAGAAAGACTGACAAGGAAACCTGTTGTTGTAGTGCAGCAAAGAAATCCTGTAATAGGAGCTCAGAAGGTCTAGAAGCAACGGAATCTTAGTAAACCAGATCTTGAAGTTGGGGAGCAACTTATATGTAGTGTTTGGCAATTTTAAAGTTGTGAATAATTCTGCCCTAGAATATTTCAAGCTACCTAAATCATGTAGACTCATGTACCTAAAAGGGATATGCACATTTGCTCTAATAAGCCAGCATGAGTCACCTCTGACTCACTACTGGCTATAAGTGATGAATCTTTCATGGATGTCAGAGGAAACTGTCACATTGAGTTGACATCTGATTTCTTTTTTGAATTATGCGTGGTTATCTGCCAGGCAGATAAGGAGAAATAAAGCATTTCAGTCACAGAACAGCAATGCAAAGGAATGAAGTTATTTGAGAACTGATAGTAGATTAATACAATAGCCAACATAAGACATAGAATCAAGTGGAATTGGTATAAAATATTGTAGGGTAAAAAACATATAGATAACAGTTCCTATACATCTATCTGAAGAAACTGGTTGAATGTACCACTAAATGAGACAAATTACACAAGGATCTAAAAAGAGACTTGGGAGTGAAATCGAGCTAATATTCAACCAGTAAGTAGCAATTCTGTTGCAGCAAGTGTTTATTAACATATATTCAGTTGAGAAATTGGGCATTTATTATGTTAGTAACTATGTTATGTAACTTGTCCGTGTTTTGTATACCATCTTGGTTAATAATAATAGACCAAATTTGGATTACTTATTAAGTTGGAGATTTCTATTGAACATTAAGGCAAATATATTTTGAATGTATTTGGAAATATTTAAAAACTTAGTTGATATATTTTGACAAATGTGGATGGAATCATTTTTGTACATTGCTTCAAATAGTATGGATTTCTGCCTTATTGACATTTACCTACCTCACTTTCCAGTCTCCACTGCATGTGCTTCTCGTCATCAGCCTAATTATTTCACCTGGAATCTTTACACCTTACTCACCTCAACCTGGATCCTAGGATCTTCAATTTCAATTATGCTTCTTTTTTTACTTTTTTCCTTTGAAATCTCATATCATCTCACATTCTTCCATTCTGAACCTGCCCATATTTCTGTCCCACTCTTACACATACTCCTTTTTTTTTCCATTTTGGTCACCCAAAACTGCTATAAAAATTATCACTGACTAAGTGGCTTAAACATCATTTATTCCTCACAGTTTTGGAGACTGAGAAGTTCCCGATCAAGGTGCCTAAAGATTTGCTTCTGGTGAGTGCCCACCTCCTAGTTTACAGATGGCCTTCTTGCAGATGGGTGTTGCTCACATGACAGAGAATGGAGAGAGCAAAGGCAAGCTCTCATGCCTCTTTTTATAGGGGTACTAATCCTATTTATAAGGGCGCTAGCCTCATAAACTAATTGATTCCCAAAGGCATCACTCCCTAATATTATCACATTGGGGGTTAAAATTGCAATATAAGGATTCTGATGGGACACAAATATTCAGTCCATAACACATCAAAATATTTATTCACAAAACTACTCTGTGTCATCCTAATTTTCTCCTGTCTCATCCTGCCCCTTCCCAATCAAATATCATTTTTGTTTATTCTGCCTCTTAATTAACCCTCATGCTTACTACCTTCCATCCTCCTTAATCCCTGTAGCCAATGCTTTAGTTTCACTCATTATTTCTCACTTTTCCTAGCATAATATCTTTTAATTACAGTTTTGTGCTAATAATCATACCCCCTCTATCCTCCACTTTGTTTTTCACTCTATTCTTAAAAAAAAAAAAAAACTAATGGGACAATTTTTTTTCTCTTGTTTAAAATAGTTCACTTTCATTAGAAAATCTGAAATTCTAGACATGTACTCTTCCTCATGATCTCACATCCAGCCATGCCACCCATACCATGCATAGACATACTATGTGAAATTCTCCTGAATCATCTCAGCCTGGGCACATTTCACAACCACTGTAATTTCTTTCCCCATTTTTCTCGCCATGCTGGTTAAACTTCACTCATCCATTAAGTTTGCACATATACTCCACAGAATACTATGGCACCATAAAAAAGCATGAGTTCATGTCCTCGGCAGAGACACGGACGAAGCTGGAAACCATCATTCTCAGAAAACGGACACAAGAACAGAAAGCCAAATGTTCTCTTAAGTGGTTGTTAAACAATGAGAACACATGGACACAGGGAGGGGAACATCACAGGGTGGCGGGGGTAGGGCAGAGACAACCTTAGGAGAAATACCTAATGTAGATGAAGGGGTGATAGATGCAGCAAACCACCACGGAACGTGTATGCATAACAAACCTGCATGTTCTACACATGTACCCCAGAACTTAAAGCATAATAATTAAAGAAAGGTTTTTACTAGGGAAAGGCACCCATGAAGGAACAAGAGAAGAAGCTTGACTAGGCAGAGGAGGAAGTTACATTGCAGGCAAGCCTCCCAGAAAGCCAACTGTCTCAGCGCATTTTCAGCTTCTCTAACAAAATACCTGAAACTGGGTAATTTATAAAAAAACAGAAAATTATTTCTCACAGTTCTGGAAGCTCAGAAATCCAAACCAAGGTGCCAGCTAGTGAGGGCCTGGTCTCTCTGCTTCTGAAATGGCGTCCCGGGTCTGCATCCTCTCGCAGGGAGAAGGCTGCACCTTCCCACGGCGAAAGCTGAAAGAGCAAGAAAGCCAAACGCCCTCTGAAGCCTCTTTTATGAGGGATGTTAATCCCATTCACATGGGGGGAGCTCGTGGCCTAATCACATCTTAAAGGCCCAGCCTCTTAATACTATCACACTGGCTATGAAGTTTTAACGCATGACTTTTGGAATGAACACATTCACACCAAAGCACCACCAACCCAGCAGGGCGATTCGGAATGAATGTTGACCATCGGAGCTGTCCCATATCTGGTTAAAATGGACAGTCTTTATACCCCTGCCTCAGTCCATAGGTGTGGGCTATCCAAGAAAAGGGATTGCCTTGAAGAAGGAGGCTCTCTGAAGCTAAAGGAAACCCTAAGGGAGCTGACAGCTGAAGGCTGCCTGCTGACCACACTCCTCACAGCTGGGTAGCAAGACTATCCTTGAAGGGAGACCCACCCTGGAAGGTCATCTCCCTGTGTCCACAGACATGTGTAAGCAATGTCATCCAGGGTCTCCTGCGGTAAGTTAAGGAGCTTGGATTTTATGCAATAGGCAATAAAGAGGCCGTGAAAAGCTTCAGGCATGGAAATGACACACCCAGCTTTGTGTTAAGTGGAAAAAAAAGTTTCTAGGCTTAACTATTACTTTGCCATATAACAGAATGTATTTCTTTTCATAAATTTATACATAATATTCTGATGGTCAATTTACTTTTCTTCCATGTCACCTAAACCCTTAGACAGCTGTATGTCCTTTTAGTTCCTTTTTATTCATGTCTCTTATCAATACATGATAAATTCTCTAATTCAATATGAATAGATTAATAAATATATATTACTGAACAGACCTAGGAAATGCACACATCTATGTATATATTAATATAAAATACCCATAAATACATACAGGATAAATATATATATATATATATATGTTTTTAAATTTTTTTCCAAGGGTCAAATAATTTCAAACATGGCTAAGCTACCACATTGCTACATGAATCTACAGAATTATTTTTCATTATCTGATATCTACTTATGAGTTCATATTATTTCTCTTTGGTCTCTCAATGCTGTCCAGCCATCCTTTTCTTTCTTTCTTCTTCATTTTCTTATTTTATTATAACGGTTGTTACAAATGTCCTCCACTATTCTGCAGTCATCAGTTCCACTTTGGAGTCCTTCATACTCACAAAATAACCTCAATTCCTTCTTTTCTGTAATTGAGTTCAAACAATATGATTCTTCATGGTTGCTGTCTCAAACTGCTTCATGTTCCACCTGTGGAACATTTTTATGTGTGTTCCTCATCTTGTTTATTTCTGACCTCCCTAAAGCCTGGCTCCCACATTTGTCAACTTTCTCTCTTCTATCTTTGTAACTCCATTTTTATTAGCTATTTCTACACACCTGTGGACAAACTTCATTCTCCTAGTAGAGATATTTTCCAATTGGATATATCCCTAAGTGATTCTTTCAGCTTTCTTTTTTCCTGCAATGTATGCTGTTTAAAAGAGTTTTCTAAACTATATTCCCTTCTGTGTTCCTTTGACATTAATTTTCTCAGTTATTTTGATGCTAGCTTTTGTCTCCACTCTTCTGTGATAATTTATGTCTTGAGGGTCACACTGTGTGCCTAAAGACAAACTCCGAAAACTTGTATCAGCTGGAATGTTGCTTAAACTCTGTGCACCTGGCTCTCTACAGACTTGCTCAATGCGAACATTTGACTGCCTTCCTACTTCCTGCTTCAGCGTCTCATTCTACAACTTCTTTTTGAATCCTAACTCTGTAAGCACTTCCCAAAATGCTTCTGTTGGCCCCTTTTTGTGGTAATTCAGCTAAGATTTTTGGATGCTCTGTGTGTTTTTGAATATTTGGTGTCAGACATTTGACATTAGCCAATCTAGTAGAGATGCAGGAAAAATACATTGTGGTATTGATTTGCATTTCACTGATAACTAATAATGCTGAGTACATTTTCATGCACTTAGTTTTATAGAGGAATATGTAAATATTCTTCTTTGAAATGTCTTTTCAAGTATTTTGTTTTTGTCTTATTGTTTTTCTTTATTGATATAGCTAAGTACACTATGTATGTTCTTAATGGCAGCTTTTGACCAATATGTATCTTTCTATCTAGATCTTTGTTCACTTTTAACTCTGTCTTTTGAAAAGCTTAAGTTTTAATTTTGAGGAAATCCAATTTATCAGTTTTATTTAAAGTTTGGCTAGTCCTTTCAGTGTCCTGTTAAATATTTTCCTATTTCAATGTTGTAAAGTTAGTTTTATATATTATCTTCCAGAAGTTGAAAATGTTAGTAGTTATATTTATGTCTATGATCCATCGCATATTAGTTTTGTAGTTAATGTGAAGTAGTGGTTGAGATTTATTTTTATCTATGTATATATTCATTTATTTCAGTACCATATGATAAAAGATATTATCCTTTTTAAATCATTTGTCATCTTTGTAAATCAAAGCACAGTTTTTATATGTGTGATTTTATACTCGAATTCCTTACGGTGTTCAATCGATCTGTTTTTATTCTTACATTACTACCAAAACCTATTTTGATGACTGTCACGTTGCAGAAATCTTGACATCAGATAGTTTGACTCCTCCAAATTTGTGACTTTTTTGGGGGTTTAATTTGGTAGTTCTAGGTTCTTTGCCTCTCCTTATAGATTTTAGAGCAAATTTGTTCATTTTTTTTCCAAAAGAACAACCTGCTAAGGTTTTGAATAAGATTGAGTTGAATTTTGAAATCAGATAGAAAAAAAGAACTGACATCTTAAAAATATAGACTCCTTCATGGCATTTACATGAATTATCTCTCAACCTATTTCTATCTACTTTGTTATATCAGCAATACTTTTTCTCCAGTGTATAGCTCCTGCATGTCTTTTATTACAATTATTCCTATATATTCATGTTTTTTAATGACAACATGCATTTCAATTTATTATTCCAATTCTAATTACTACTCTACAGAGATAAATTTATATTGATTGGTGACTTTGTTTTCCATGACTTTACTGAATTTACTTAAGTTATAATATGTTTTATAGGGTTTTTCACACATGTAATTGTATCAGAAAAAATACGTTTTTACTTGTTTTATTCATGTCTTCCTAAAGATAAACCTTTCAAATAATGTTAACAAGATATGATAAAAATAGACATCCTTGCTTTGTCTCCAATCATAAAAAAATTGTTTTTTACCATTAAATATTTATTAGCGCTAAGAACTTTTATATTTCTGCTTTATACACTAGAGGAAATTTTTTTATTTCTATCTGGTAGAGAATCTTTATTATTTATGTGTTGACATTGTGAAATGCCTTTTTTATATTATTAGTTGATTATATTTTTATGTAGCTTATATTTTGATAATGTGGTGAGTTATACTTATTTAATTATGAATATAAACAATTTTTCATTCTGGGGATAAACTTTGTGATTTCTTTTCATTTTCTTTGTTTATCAATATATTTTATTTAATTAAAAATATTTAGAAACAAATTACAAATTAGACATTTTATATTTTTTCATACAAAGTCTTCAAAATACAGAATTTTTTTTTAGATGTTGTCTTAGTCTGTTGCCCAGGCTGGAGGGCAGTGGCATGATCTCGGCTCACTCGTTCACTCGCCTCCCAGGTTCACACAATTCTCCTGTCTCAGCCTCCTGAGTGGCTGTGATTACAGATGCCCACCTGGCTAATTTTTTGTATTTTTAGTAGAGATGGAGTTTCACCATATTGGGCAGGCTGATATCAAACTCCAGACCTCAGGGGATCCACCTACCTGGGCCCCCCAAAGTGCTGGGATTGCAGGTGTGAACCACTGCGCCAGGCCCCAGAATTTATTTTATACTCACAGGCCATCTCAACTTTTTTGTCAGAAGTAGTTGATATGGATTTAGGTTTCTTCCCCCCCCCCCCCTTTTTTTTTTTTTTTTTTTTTGAGACAGAGTCTTGCCCAGGCTAGAGTACAGTGGCATGATCTTGGCTTACTGCAACCTCTGCCTCCCTGGTTCAAGCAATTCTCCTGCCTCAGCCTCCTGAGTAGCTGAGATTACAGGCACACACCACCACGCCTGGCTAATTTTTTTATTTTTTGGTAGAGATGGGGTTTCACCATGTTGCCGAGGCTGGTCTCAAACTTCTGACCTCAAGTGATTCACCTGTCTTGACCTCCCAGAGTGCTGGGATGACAGGTGTGAGCCACTGAGCCTGGCCAATTTAGGTTTCATAAACTTTCAAGTTGAAAATATACCCAAGTTCTGAATCATACCCAAAGGTTTTTCAATAACAGACTCAAGTTATTAGTTTTTACGTTTAAACTCAAACCAATCAATTAAAATTTAAAATTCAGTTCCCCAGTCATGACAGCTACTTTATAAGTAGCTTATGGCTGCCTGCAGCTGAGTTTGGAACTGACATGGTAGGTTGTCCTAAAGGAATATGTGATAGGCCGACAAGCCAGGGAGCAGCTTCCATCCTCTTCTCTTTCCCTTGGGGTGTCTTCAGCCTGGCAGCCAATCCAGTTTTGCTCATGTCCTCGGTTCTCGACCCTCCTGTGACACTGCCAAAGGGGGAGAGTGGAAGCTTCCAGGGCACTGCAGAAAACCAGGTTCATCTAGATGCTGGAGGCAGGCACGGAGACACTAGAAAAGGCCATTGCTGCTGCACCTGCTGGTAGGGTGGAGTTGCTCTTGCCTTCAGGCAGAAAGAGCGGTCCTGAGCGTCGGACCCGGTGGAAAGGTCACGCTCTCTCCGAAGGAAGTTCAACTCAGGATTTCCTTCCCCTGGTTCAGCATGCACCATCAACAGCAGAGCCTCCCCTCCCAGTTTCAGAGCTTGGCTTGCTGAGAAAGGTGCTGAGAGATTTCCAAGGTCATTCCCAGCCCCAGGAGTCCAGCCTTCTGCACCACGGAGGTTTTTGGGAGGAGATGCCCATCGCCCTGGGGAGTCAATATTAGAACCTCAGTTTCCTTTGTGCTGTCACCCCTACTGGTAAGAACACTTACACCAGCTCTTTTTCACTTTTATATGTTTCTTTTGATTTGTTACTTTTTTGTTAAGAATTCTGCATGTATATTTATGATGAATATTATATTATTTGAATATTGTATAATTTATATTTTTATTTTCTTGTGATCTTGTCTAGTTTTGGTATTAGAATTATTCAATTATTTTATCCTTATAAAATATGTAAGAAATTCTCCCTCTTACTCTAGTTTCTGGTTGGAAAACACTATTGATATTATTTCCTCTTTAAATGTTTACTACAAAATTCTGATGAAGTAACCTCTGCTCAGAAATGTAATTATGGGAAGCGTTTTGAATACAAAGTCATTTTCTTTAATAAGTATTATGCTATTCATATTGTGTATTTTGCATATCAATTTTGAAATTAAGAGTTAGAGAGTATACCTAGTTTCCCAAATCATTGGAGCTAACAAGACACTATTAAATTTTAAGATGAGCAAAAATTGGACATTTTGCAAATGAGGATAATTTTTATTTAGAAATACTTTATTACGCCAGATAGAAGTGGATACAGATAATGCCATATTCCCCAAGAGTAGAAAAATGTGCAAAATATAAAACTCCCTAGGGGTATTACAGATAGTCAATCACTGATGGGCTGCCTGCTTTAAACTGACCTTAATGTAGATGTCAAGAAGCATCCAAGCTGCCTGTTGAGGCTTCAGCTGAGGCTGACATTCCCACCAGCCTAACATACAAGTGAGCACATGCATATAGTTGACACTCAGTAAAGTATCAAACAGTTCAACAGCAGAGAAGTGAAAAGAGAGGTCTAATGTACATGATTCTTTCAATAACCAAAGTGCTTGATGAAATGATGTCACATTCCTTGTGTTTGTGAACACCTCTTTTAGCAAGAAGTCACTCTCCAACTGCTAATATCATTTGACAGCAGTCCCTAATTATTTTTCTAAGTTTATTTATACTTTAAAAAAAATCAAATGTAATGAAGACATGACTATTGGAAATAATTTGGAAAATACAACAAAGAAAAAAACAAAATGAAACTTCAAAAGTACACTTTTCAAGTTATATCTAGAATATTAATTTAATAAAATAATGTGTACATAACTTACTATACTATATATTATATGTTTATTTATATTTACTAAGTTATGTAAATAGTACAATCTTATCCCATCTTAGAGCTACACTAGGATTTGTTTAGCCACTACTTGCTTTGATTTTGAGTTGCATAAAATATTTGTATATGATTCTCTGGTAGATTTTTTAGTCTTTGAATAGATTCCAATAAACTGAAATAATAAATCAAATGATACAGATTTTGTTTAGACTATTGACAAAATATTTCTAATTTATTTTTATAGAGCAATATGAACATTTAAATTCCCACCATGAGTATAGGAAAGTGCCAATTTTGTTGCACAATTGCAATCATTTTTTTAATCCTTAAATATTTGCTGGATAAAATATTCTTTTTTAATCATTTTAATGTCTTTAACACAAAACTTAACATTTTGATATATATTTTCCAGTCATATATACTCTTTTCTGTAAATCTCATTATTCTTTATTTCTTCTTACCTATCAGAGTTTTGGTGTGAATCTTTTTGAAATATAAGTCCTGTATAGATTAATATTAAATTTTGTTTTTAATATTTTGGCAAAGATTCTGTTTAGCTTTATTAGCCTTTTAATTTAGTTTATGTGTTTTTAAATGGATAATATTTTATTGTTTTATGCAGTTAAATTTTTTAAAAATTTTCTTCTGGCTTTTTTAATTGCATGCAATTTTAGAAATCCCGTATAATGTTTAAAAAATATTCATTTACATGTCTGTGAATGTTTTGTAGTTTTTTAATGTATAAAATTTAAATAAGCTGGAATTAATTTTTATGTCTTAAGCCTTGCCATGGAGAGATGCACCTTTTCATTTCTGCTCCCTCTTTTAATAAAGTCAAGCTTGCAGAAGGTAATGAGGTTGGTCAGTATATCTTGCATTCTTTATTACACCAAAAATACTAGTTGTGTTAGTTGTGCTATGTTAAGCCCAGTTATTGGAACTTTGGGCACACATTTCCAACTCTTAAACAAAGAACTCCAATTAGTTACTATGCATACTTCTATAGCACAAGATAAATAAGGTAAGCATGTTATGGGGTGTCAAAAATGAGGGAAGAAAAGAAAAAGACAACAGTAGTGAGGGTATAAATTTATTTTTGAATTACTAGAAACAAAAAAAAAGATTAAAATAAATATTCCCTTAGGCATCAAAGCATGCCTTTTCAGCTTTGAGCTTCTTTTGTGAAATGTTTCGGGCATTTCCCAAAGATGTACTATATGCAACCTAAATATCATCATTATGAAGTGGTCATCAAATGAAGAAAGTGGTCTGTTTTGTAGAATAACTGACCCAGAGTCATCAAAAGATTCAATATGATGAGAAATATGGTCTAGTCTACACTGGATGGGAAGACTAATGAGACATAACAGCCAAAGTAATGTTATGAATTTTTACTGAAGCCTGCATTTAAAAAGAAACAATGAGAATGCTTTTTCAGATAGAGATGAAAAATGGATACACTATTTTAAAAAATAGTTCAATGAATGCTAATCTTTTCATGTATATCAGTGATGGTGTGGTTTATTAAGCAAGTATCCCTTGATATTGGGAGATGGATTCTCTAATATTATTATAATTAAGATGCACATTTGGAAGTGTTACTATGGATGCACTCTACCTTCAAATGGTTTGGTAAATGGATTGTGTGTGTGTGTGTGTGTGTGTGTGTGTGCGCGCGCAGGGTATGCTTGTGTGTGTGTGTGTATGTATGTAGTGTATTTCTTTCCTTACACGTGTGTAAGGAAAGAAACAGCAGTTAGTGAATATAAGTGTTTATTTTAGTCATTTTTTTGTTTCTCAATTCATTAAATGCATACATACATAAAGATAATAGCAGTTCCTACTTCATAGACTTATTATGAATATTAAATGTCCTATTTCAAGTAAAGAGCTGACTACTATTATGTTTGATAAATTATTACCATTTAATGCATGTTAGGTAACAGTAAGTCACAGAGAATCTTGGGATGAGAATATTGAGAATAAATTTTCCAGTGTTGAAAATAATAATAATAAATGTGCAATTATTGAGGTACTTATATTCTTTCTTTTATCACTCCAAACATATTAGTTGTGCTTTTCCTGTATTCCTGCCTATACTTTTCAAGCAGTCCTGCCATCTGGTGTTGCAGTGTATGCTTCAATGCTTCAAATGGAAGTCACTTACTGCCTTTTATTTTCACCTTGTTTGAACAAAACCATGTTTCATGCCATTTTAAGTCCCCTTTATTTCATGAAGTTTCTCTAGAGAATTCTGATTTCAATTGAGATTTTTTTCCCTGAATTCCTACAAATTGACACATTGATTGTACTACTGCTCTGGGAACTCAGATGTACATGTATAACTCTTGTTTCCTTTGCATCTTACTATTCTAAAATACAGTGTCCATTTCTGTATGAGGCCAAATACAGTTTTGGAGAATAAATAAAATAACAGCTTAAGCAAGTAAGAATATTCTACAGTATGGCTGGAGCTAATCTTTAAGATGGTGCCTAATGGTGAAAGTCTGTTCCCAAAAGTCTGAAACTTAAAGTGAGAAAAATCATACGCCTTTGAAGATTTCTTCAATTCTACTATACGATCCAAGTACAAAGAAGTACTGGATTTCTCTGTGCATTTTAATTCTGACATTCATTGCCTATTTCCTAAATGTAAAGAATTTTCTATAATAAAAATTGGACTCATATTAGGATTTATGCAGATAAGATTTCCTCAAATACAATACCAATCACAATCCCTTCAATTCATCTTTCTACTTTCATGAGATTTTCAAGCAAAGAAATTTAATCTTTCTTGAAGTCAAATGTATTAATAGTTAATAAAAACAAAGTCCAATGACAGTGTTAGCAAAAAACAAGTAATGTATGTAAAGCCCTTCCATATTTGAATTAAATGCCTGAATTGGGTATCATTAACTCCTAGGCATTAGATATGATGTGGGTGAGAAGAAATATTTTAGGTAGAAGGAAATATTTGCTTATTGAGGTAAAATAATTAATGGATCTTTGTTATGAAAATAGACCACAGACTTATTATAAGAAAGATCGTCCTTCCAGTTATTGGTAGAATGCAAATGTACGTTAACAATCGCCTAAAAAAAGCCAGACATGTTTAGTATGTGTTACCTACTATAAGACGAATAATGGCTTTGAGATATGTAATGAATGTATTTTTCAAAAAACTTTGCTTCTTTGCATTCTAAATCTTCCAATATTCTATTTGGTTTGTTTTTATTTGGTTCCAAGTTGGGTCTCTCCAATCAGATTATTCCAAATTTTTGGCTATAGTATTTAATTCAGAGTTTGACATAGAAGACAAGTCAGTCCATTGAGAGTTGTCTCTGAGACCTTATTAATCAAATGGTTGATTAACTAGGATAGGTAGGATATACCACAGCAACAAACAACACTGGCATCTTACTAGTTTAAAAAATATAGATATATTTATAGGTCAAGGTAAGTCCAATTTGGGTTGGATCATACTCTTCCTGCTTATAAGTTGGTCACATGATGAAATATTTGGCGTCTAAAGTCACTGCACCTGAGGGTGAAAAAATTGTGGGAGACTTAGAAATATATATATATATTATATATATATTATATATATACATATATATATATATTTATATTTATATATATATATATATATATAATATATATATATATTTATATATATATATATTATATATAT